CAACCAGAAGCTTCTATCATGCTAACTGAAATTAATAACAAGTAACTAGAGAAAGTAGGGAGAGGGATGTGAAAGGGAGAAGAACGCAGTTGGGACGTTGAACCACCAAAAGAATGACTAAAAGAAGAAAAGTTGATTGTTGATTGGTTGTAAGGGGGGGTCTTCATCCAGTAACGGTGGTTCTAGTAACTATCAGAAAGACTCTTCGTAATAACGCTTGACGAAAATGTATTACAAATGCTGGCGTAAAATCAGCTCGTTGCTGATCGATTTTATTCTTGGTTGATTTCTCAGTTGAATGAAATGAATAGAATATTTTATTCAGTATTTCGGAGATATTTGGTTTCCTAGAAGTTCAAATTAATAAGAGTCCAGGTTTCTATGCTTTTTCCCATTTATGTCATTTGAAAATCAAATTTTTGTTCATTCCGAATGTAGTTGACCTTTTAACCGACCGATCAATGGCCAACAGAACGTGTTTAGTTTTTTCGATGAAAATTGGGCAGTTATTGAACGACTGACCCAAATCATAATGTAACAGATAGTTGCAAAAGGCGCAAAAATGTTTGCCGCCAGCAGGGGTCGAACCTGCGACCTTGGGCTTNACGCTCTAACCGACTGAGCTATGGCGGCTGCGAACGTCTGTTCCAAGTGAGTCTTTATCATGGGCAGCCACATGATCGATGGTTCTCTCATCCAACACTCAAGTTTACTTGGGGATTGACGAGAAAACAGCCAAGCACCTCTGTGGTTTTTAACTTTTTTGAAATATTATAGTTATGGAGCATTTACTGGGTTTGTAAAGCGAACACAATAGTGGAATGGAACGGGTAGTGAGTACTGGGAGGGAGAACGGGAAAGAAAGGGGATTAGGCTCAAATGAATTGAGCTAAACGCTCCACCAGTTTGTAAGTACATTTCCCAGTATCAATTCCACTTAAAATAGCTCTTAGAAAGGTCATGTGCAATTGTTCCGCAAGTGGCGGCGAATGGAAGCCATAGATGTGTGAACACCTCAAGCCCCTACTTATTCTTAGGGAATTCGTTAAAGCTCAATGTCTATGTTGAGCCGTAGTACGGTTCGTCAAATATGTCTTATTTAAAAATAATTATTTATGAAACAATATTGTGTTTGATGGCGCAATAAATTCAACGGATTTTGGTCCATCTAGCTGCAGTTGGGATCTATTTCACTCCCGTTTAGTCAGTCAGTTTCAGATGTAGTTATGGTAATATAATAATATAATCGAAATAATATAATCGTAGTGTATATCTTGCCGAAGTGGTGATTATTGCTTGATTTGCAGAAGTTCCTATCTCATGATGTACTTTGTTGATTAAATGCGTCACCGGGGTCGGTAAAGATCATTCCGGGATACATTCCAGCTTTGCCTGCGTCACTTTTCGCGAAAGAGAAAAACTGGAGAGAAATGACTGTTTATTACGGATGCTAGTAAACAATGCTATCCAACTGTAAAACAAGTTTTGATCTATATAGAGGCACGTCGGCAAGAGGTTCAGAAAATTCATGAAAAAAATCGTTTAAGAATGGATGCTGAGAAGCTGCGACCGATGGCTCGATGTGGGCAAAGGGTTTCACGCCGCAAGCGTGAAAATCTTTCCTGAACGAAGTGTGCAGAGATTTCAAATTGCAAAGACCGCGCCCCCTGGAGG